TAATCATTATCTCGCCATTTGTTCCGCACGTATCGGCCGTCTGTTGGGATCAATTCGCTTCTCACGCCATCGGTTCCCATGAATACGATATCACAAAATCAGTGTTCGAACAAAAGTGGCCCACAATTGATGACCAATCCTTTCAGCACAAGATATGGTTCACATATAGTGACAAAACAGGCAAACAAATCAATAGTCATGGCATTAAAGTGAACAGAAGTTCATTAAAAAATTGGACACAAAGTGATGTCAAAGAAGTGATTCACGTCAGAGAAGAGGACATCGAGAAGATTGATATTAATAAAGACGTTGCGGTTGTCGTGAGACTCAAGAATGGAAATTAAAGATTAAGCCATTAATTAGTTATAAAATTAGTCTTTAGTTATTGTATAAATCACATTATCTTTAATTGAAAGATGTATTCATTTTACAAATATTTTTTATCAATCGATTTTGTGTTTTCGTTTACGGATAACCATTTGATTAATTGTAGACTTATGTAATGAATTCATGCATTATCTTCAAAACAGTTATTTAATTAATAAAAATTAATCATTTTTAAAGAATTCATGATCTCATTGATCGACAATTTATCAAAGATTTTATCTTGAAAAGTCAAAATGTGCCCATGGCCAGAAACGGGAAAGTTATGACCATTTTTGTAAACATTTACATGTGTTGTATAGCATAAGATTTTGGTGATTACCGGTACTAATCATTCATTATTCATGCACCTGAGAAAACCCATTTTCTAATACTAATCTAACCATGTCAAGATTATAACCAAATTGTCATGTCACTATACAAACTTCCCGATTCAGTATTTTAAATGTAATATGTAATATTAATGTTTTTATAATGTTATAGATATCTAATAAAATTAATATTGCATATAAAAATATCAACTACTCGTAAAATTGGCATTAGCTCATAGGAATACAGCAGTCGTGTAATAGAGTTAATTTTGTTCATAGACATCCTTAGGGCGATCCTCGAAACTCATACTAAATGGTAGTTAAAAAGGAGAACGTGATGTTACCGTTAACCTAGTGTTAATTAGATTTATGCCGCAAATGATCGGGATCAAATAAAGAAATTTTTTACATAAATGATGATGCTGTTTCATTTTGTAAAGAGCATCTTGATTAAAAATATTAAAAATTAAACATATTGTAGACAAGGAAATATTTGGGCTAACAAGTTTTTATAATCAATTACCGCAATAAACATTATCATGCTATATATTTAATTTATATTTTGCCTACAATTTAAAATATTTAAATGAGTTTTAAAATAATAACAATTATAATATTTCGTCATATTGTTTATAAAATATATTAATGATAATAAATGCATATTTGACCACTTTTTAGTGCTTATTATATGACAAGTTTGACTACTTATTAATGCATACAGTTTTTGAAAGGCTTCTAAATTAGAAGTTCTAATCAATTGAAAGGATTACACAAATCATACTCTAATAATATCAATATTACATAAGTTAGAATAATGACACTTTGAATTATGGTAAATCATGAATTCAAATTATACGATAAACTAAACCATTGCGGTTAATATGCAGTTAATTTAGTTAATTCCAAATGTAAACCACATTTTAATACAAATATAATTAACAAATTGTAAAACTTTAAGAACTCGTTATTAACGTTACATGTATTACACATTTGCATACATTTCAATGCATTTGTAGGCAATGGGGTCTCAAATGCAATGTATTTGTGTACGTATTTTGTGATATTATACACAAATGGTTGTGTTTTTGAGAGCATATCATATGATGTGATGTTTTATTGAATATTGAATTTCAAATGAAATCTTTTTTTTTGCAAAAAGTTTTATTTCAAATCACAGTTTAATTTAATTTGATTACAGTTTAAGTTATTTGCCATGAATTGAATGAATGCGAATTTGTATTGTATGTTATATAAACAATGCTTTGCTGTTGAGTTAACAATAAAGTCTATAAAAGTGTGTAAAAACTGTGTGAAAAGTACTAAACGATAAAAATTGCAATTTCACCAAAATTTTGACATTTTGTAATTAGTTTTTGATTTAAAAAGTGAATTGAATTACAATTTTAAATATTAATTATAACTATTAATAATAATAATCAATGGATTGTCTGTTAAGAGGAAAACAAATGGGAAAACGAGTATTAATTGACTGGAAGTATGTTTTAAACGTCAATACATTTACGAAATGTTAATTAAATGTAATTTAAATGAAAAGTATATGTAAAACATATTATATGTCATAAAATAAGTACAGTTTCTAATGAATAGTGGATTAATAGTAATATAATATATGATTTCCTGTTAAATACTCTAAACTTGTCTCACATTGAAAAACATTTGCTTTGAATTTGTAATGAAAATTGTATATAATTTGTACTAATTTTATACTTCTTATCAATCATTGACTGAATAGAGGTTTAAATGGTTTCTCAAAACTATTGATCAAAACGTTTGATTCATTGAAGAGCAGCGCAAATACAAGACTCATGTCGTCCACTGTTTTAGCCGATTGTGTGTCTCATTTGGACCCAAAACAGGTGCAACTTCTGGAGGAGGAATGTATTGTCGTCGATGAGAATGACGTGCCTTTGGGGGCGAAGACCAAAAAAGATTGTCATTTAATGACAAACATAGACAAGGGTTTAATTCATCGGGCATTCAGTGTAATGCTGTTCAACAGTTCCGGTGAACTCTTGTTAACCCAGAGATCTGACGCCAAAATCACATTTCCCTCATTCTTCACGAATACGTGTTGTAGTCATCCGTTGTATAACGAGTTGGAAAGGGATGAGACAAATGGCATCGGAGTTAAGAGAGCCGCTCAACGAAGACTACACACCGAACTCGGCATCGATTCCCTTAAGATTCCGCTCCAAGACATCAAATACATGACTCGTTTCCTATACAGAGCGCCTTCGGGTGGCCTTTGGGGCGAACATGAGATCGATTACGCTTTGGTCATCCAAAAGGATGTGGACCTCAATCCCGATCCAAATGAAGTCAAGTTTTATCAATTCGTCTCCAAAGAGAATCTCATCTCCTTTTTGAGTCCGTTTTGAATCAACATGAGATCGATTACGCTTTGGTCATCCAAAAGGATGTGGACCTCAATCCCGATCCAAATGAAGTCAAGTTTTATCAATTCGTCTCCAAAGAGAATCTCATCTCCTTTTTGAGTCCGTTTTGAATCCATTATTCTTTTGAGTCAATCTTTAAATTATATTTTTGTGTTTTTTTTTGTGCAGAGAGTGAAGAATTAAAGGGCAATCGAGTGACGCCATGGTTTCAGCTAATGATTGACAACTTTTTGATGAAATGGTGGAATAATTTGCATGCTTTGGATCAATTCCAAGACCATAAAAATATACATAGATTGCCCTAAAAATGAAATTATTTTGCAAACAGATTTGAAACAGATTTTCAAAAACGAAATCTGGTTTCTCTTTTTATCAATATGTTGTTAACCATTATTTCATATTATATACGATTTATAGCTTATATTTGTTTAGAATTTAAGATTTAATACTAATTTTATACCAGAATTTAAATAAAGAATATTACGGTAAATAATTAAATACTGAATTTTTAATACAATTTGTTAATAAATGATAGTTATCATGATTACATGTCTATCAATCCTATTGCACAGAACTTATGAGTCATAAGTTATGACAATTAGCATTCATTCATTCAGTTGTATGTATGATAAGACCCGATGCCGAGTGGATTCATCTCTAAAACAAATAAATGTCATGAATTTTAGCAACATTTAAGATCTTAAAATTTAGTCCAAATTTCAACCAATATTATTAACGACATCTATATTTCAGATTTTAACTCAAAAATTAACTAATTCTGTAATTTAACTGAAATTAACTATCATTTTACAAAAAATAATTAATTTTGATAATATTCAAAACATTTTATTTGTTTTAAATTTATTTCCATTCAATAGAATTTAATTTTAAATTTATGTTTTAAGTACAATATTGTCAGAATACACAACAAAATTTGTAAATTTAATAAATTTGAAATATTTAGAACAATTTGCCATTAATGTTTAAAATCATAAATGTTTTAATTAGTTGCTCATTATATAGTTTAATAAAAGTTTTTAGTTAAAAAATTAATGAAGATTTCACATTTTGTAAAAATTGAGTCCAAATGAAATATTCCAATGAAAACATGAACCTTAAAATAGATGCCAAAGTACTGATATGTGTCTTATCATATGATACTTTCTGGTTAGAAAGGTCTCGTCGAGTACATCAATGGTGAGACCAGAATATCGGTTTAATACAGTCATACAAATACTGTTTAAGAATATTTTTAATAATATTTACGATATGCGACAATAGATATCTCTCTCATACCATTCAACTGCAAATATACTCTCTTCTTGTTTGACATACAAATGTATATTATATTATAGAATTTCTATAACAATATTTGCCAATAATGTATACCAAACCCTATATTCATTTTATGAATCATCATTTATATTACAAATTAAATACAATTTACAAATATAAATACAATACAATGTAATTTTATAATTTGTTTAATATGTTAATGTTTAACTTAAATGAGCATTATATACAGTATGTTGTTGTTAAAAAATCATTATTAATATATTATCTTAAGTAAATTAGCTAATAATTTTTATGTTATATTATATAAGTAGCTGATTATATATTATACAAATGGACAGAAACATTATAAATATGGACATTGATCATGTTTATAAAATTAATTGTTTACAAATATTTTTTATTTAATATTAAAAAGTGGACATTATTCTATGTATTTAGTTTTAGTTTTAATTACTATAAAAATTCTGGAATTGTTAACTCCTTTATAATTTGCACGAATATTTGCTTTTTACTTTTAGTTAGAATTAAATAAACATCTAAATTGACCATTATAATAAAGACATACTGTAATTTTATTTGTAACATTCAGACACATGATTAGGGTATACATGATGGATTAATAATAAAATGAGAATGATGGTTATATCAATTTTATATGATGTAAAATAAAATGTATTACAGCGCAGACTTAATACTGGAAAAACAACAACTGTTAGTATATTAATATTGATACTAAATTGTTTGATAATATATTCAATTTATTAAAACACTTAATAATTAAGTGACGAACACTTATTATGGGCACCAGAAAAGCGACCGACAGCTGCACAGTTGGATTGGGATTGTGATTGAGTTAACGCTAATCAAGTAGTGTTTTGTTGAGCCAAAGCACGCGATTCGCGTATTTATACCTTATATTCATTTCCGATTAATAATAATAAACTCAAACACAATAAACATTTGAAACTATTGTTTCATTTTGCGGGCCATTCAGTCATCCGAAACACAAGTCGTGCGCTTTATTTGCCATTCATTGCGATCAATATCTATCTGTTTCTACAGTACGGGTCATTCAGTTTAGCGTTTTTTTGTGCCCAACCTTTTCTGCCTCTCCTAACTGTAATTGAAGTTTAAACTCGCGATCATTTTTTTCGCATAATCGCACCCAAACTCAAATGAATTCAAAGGAGGATGTGCAGATCTGTAATGGGGATGAATAAAAACTGTAGTGGGGACATAGGTTAGTTGTTTTTTAGAAATTTTTTACAAATTAAGAACGATTTGTTGTATGATATTGAACTACGTCAAACATGGAGTAAATTGCTCTTTTCCATATGATCATCCGACCTTTGGTTCAGCCACAGTGCCCACATTTAGCAAAGATTTTAACTTATCCAATACTGACATATTATATATGAAATCAATGTAGAATTTAACGCAGAAGTTGAATATCGTAATACCATCTCGATCGGGTGCATAGATTTAATGTAATTTTAATTTATTTTTGGTCCGCGATTAGTGGTAGTGACTATTGAGTCAAGAGTGCTGAAGGTGGTCTTGGAATGTGTTTGGTGTTATCGTAGATAGTTGGGATTAAGGAATAATAGGTTATTTTACTAATTTTATCTAAAATTCAACAGTTTTAAGTAAATAACACCAAATCTACTGACCCCACCGATCTGATATTGCGATATTCTAGTTCTACATTTAATTCTACATCGATTTCATATATCACATGTTAGTCTTAGATAAGTTGAAATTTCCAGATAAAAGTGGTCATTGCAGCCGAACCCGAGGTGGCTCAGCTATATGAATTATAACAGATGACTCCTTATATGATGTGCTTTCACATGGCATGGTCAAATCCCGATTGCCAGCGTGGGCTATTTTGCACATCCTACTTTAAAAAATCATTTAGTTTAATAAACGTAAAATTTCATTAATTAAATATATACTGACTTCATATCCACGGAATCTATTGATGAGAAATAATTTCCAACAATAAAATCCGACCCTATTTTGACCCAATCTCTCGATTAACGACTTTAACTGAAAATAATATTAATTGTTAATTGACTTAATATTATTGTAACTTTGTTATTATGTAAACAATTTGATGTTGTAACTTAATTACATAAATAAATTTTGTAAAATTCTACAACACATAAAATTATACATTAAACGCAAAAATAGTTAATAAAAAATAAAATGATATTATATACTACAATATAAAGTATAAATTTTATTATTAATATGAATTACGCCAGGTTAAATCATAATTTAAATATTATACTAGAGTCTGTAACATCTAAGAATTAAAAATGAAATAAATTGTATTACTGTATCTATAAATATTTGCTAATTACTGGACACTATTATTGTGTTTTATTTAAAGTTTAATTTTACATGTAACTTACCTTAATGCTTAACCTTAATGTTAGCATTCTATTTGTCAGTTTACGTTCGATAGACGTGTTCAATGAATTATACGAACGATTCGTCTTATTGAACAATAGCGCCGAACAGTGTATGAGATATAATAAGGTAAACAAAAATTGAAGGCAAATCACCGAAGCGCCTAACCGAAGGTAGAGACCAATGCGGCCATAAATAACGTAGTATACAAAGAAACTAACCACTGAACTAATCATAACCCAATAAATTGCTATAAACTTTGACCAATAAATACAGTTATAAGTAGTGTTCCCAGAAGCTTCCGGAATGGCAGGAGTCTCCAGGAATCGAGGTCTTGCTCCTGTTTCCCGGCGAGGGTCTCACCTTGATATGGGGAGCTCAAGGAATTTAATGTTCAATTAAATAACATATTTTATTTTAAATATCAATATAAATAATTTTTATAAATAGGTACAAGATCAACAGATTGTTGAACTTAGAAAATCTAAAAAATATTAACTCCGTAACCTGGCTACAAATATAAATAAGTGTTTTAAGATGCAATTATGAGAGTGTAATGCAATATTAATTACAATTTATATACTGTTTCAATAGTTTAAATAATAATTTTTTCTTAAAAACGTATCAAGGAAAAACTCAAGGAATTTTTAATAAAATCTCAAGGAATCTCAAGGAAAGTATTACTCAAAAGTATATTTATCAAGGAAATTGAAATATTGACCTGGGAACACTAGTTATAAGTGTCGACCTCATTGATTAACTTGTTGAAATCATGTAACATGTTGATAATTAATCGGTTAATGCGAGTTGTGCCAAAATTTAATATTAGTTGATTAATAGAATCAAATTTTAGAATTAAATAATAAACTATGATAAAGTAATAGATCAGTTGCCATATGATAATGGGGTACACCAGATATGCAGCGTAAGCCCATATAATTGTATGAGGTATAGCAGCAAACATAATTTGATACAGTACAATGTTTGTTTAATAGAAAATAATGTCAAGGTGATTATAGCAATGAAATAAAAAATGGTGCCCTCGATCAATTCACCCATTAGTATCCATTTACGCGAAAATGATAATAATTTATGGACGAGCCTTACGTCCCGAATCCAACCTCAAAGGGTGTAGTTAAGCCCGACATCATTTGAAATACACGCAAATCAGCTGGTTTCATGTGCCTAGTATAGTTGTAATAATTAACGGCTTGAGACAATAAGCCTATCATCATTACAACAATGATCAGGGTGCTTATCTGGTACCGGAGTCCCATAAAATAGGACGCATCGCCGATAATGGCGTAAAATTGCAGCGATTGTTCACCGATTGTGACCACAATTAATTGTCGCACAATAATTAGTGTCACGATTGCCAACACTAGGAGCGGATGTTTGAACGCATTTCTACGGCAAGTAATTACCGGCGGTTTGTATAACGACAGGCCGTTTGTGTAGAAATGAGAGCCCGCTCTGGCAATGCGCACCGATTCAATAGTTGGCCGATTTTAATCTTATCGCTTGTAATCGTAGTCATTATTATCGGTGATTACTGTACTGTTTATATCGATATAAGTTATACTAATGTATGAAATATATTTTTACAGTTTTTATTTTATAGTTTATGATTAAAATTAATATTAATACATACATGTCTATCATATAAATAGATTTTAAATTATATTAAAAATGCTAATAACTTTTAAACAAACAATAATTATGTTTATCATACCTTAATGTTATTTGAAATACCTTATTTCATAATACATTTAAATTTAAACAATAAATATTTGCATATTGAATTAATTGTGTTTTAATATCATGTAAAGCATTATGATAAAATATAATGGTGTTAAAAGTGTAGTTTGTTTAGTGAAATAAAATTATGTAAAATTATTATATCAATAAGAACTGTATTGACTTTATTAAATTATTTTATGGTATAGTTGTAATGCCATTAAAATGTCTTGGTCAATACACTTTCATTCAATTAATAAATTAATAAAAGTCATTAAATTAAATTATTAAAAAACAATACTCTCGCTCTCTAATAATTTTTTTGTCATGTTTTAAATTTATAGATTTATAACTTATGAATTTAATAAACTTATAAAAAGTTAGATTTAATACAACCATTATAACAACAAGGTTTATTATGTCACAATTAATTTTGTATTTTTGATTATTTAAAAATAATATATTATTTTTATTGATTTAATTATATTGCGACATCTCGATAAGTTTGATAAAGAGAAGACAAATAATGCAAATCATCTAAAATTGAATCACAAGTAAAAAATAAAAATTTAAAAATCATATTGTTTAATAAATGTAAAATTTTATTAATTAAATATATACTGAACTTCATATCCACGGAATCTATTAATGAGAAATAATTTCCAACAATAAAATCCGACCCTATTTTGTCCCAATCTCTCGATTAATGATATTAACTAAAAACAATATCTATTAATTAATATAATATTATTTTAATTTTGTTATTATGTAAATAGTCTTAATAATATAATTTAATTATATAAATAAATTAATAATTTTTCTAAAATTAAAAACATAAAATTATACACTAAACACAAAAATAGGATTTTGTAAAATAAATTATATAAAAGTTCATATACATGTACTTTATGATTAATGTGAATTACGCAAGGTAAAATCATAATTTAAATAATATACCCTGTAGTATCCTATCTAAGAATTATAAATGTAATAAATTGCATAATAAATAAATACATTCAAATTACAATATACAGTACACTATATTTTAGTTTATTTTACACCTAGTTTACCTTAATATATAGAAGTCTATTTGTCGATTTACGCTCAGTAGACAGGGGGTGTTCA